GCCCCTCCCTGCGCCCCCCCATCCGCTCTGGTCCTCTCGGGCCCCTCCCCTCCGCCCGCACAGTCTATCTGCACCCGACGTTTTTGGTGTAAGTGCATGAGCCCCCCGCCCCCCCGCCTCGCAGGGTGCGGGCCTCACGGCTGACAGACGGAGAAACTGAGGCCACGAAGGTGCAGCGGCTTGTTTAAGGCCATGAAGCTCAGCGTAATAACTGTTCATACTTGTATGTGTGTTTGTAGTGGTTTGTAGTCCACAGCGTGTCATTTAATAGAAAACCAGAACCTCCTGACAATCTTTTTAAAAAAAGTTCATCGTTATTATTGGAAGTATTACAGCTGTCCCCTCTTTTCCCCACTGATCCCCTCCACCCCACATCCTCCCTGCATTTTTTAAATTAATAGTTTCATTGAGGTGTAATGTATATAACGTAAGACTCAATTTAAGTACATTCTGTTATTTTTAGTATATTTACGGAATTGTGCAACCATCATCACGATTTAGCTTTAGAACATATCAGGCAAAAAAGAAATCTTGTGCCATTTATTTATTAGTCATTCCCCATCCCAGACGACCACTGAGTCCATACAATCTTTTTCTGAAATCATTATTCCAGCCCTGGCCAGTTTGGTCAGTGGTTAGAGCATCTGCCAGCGGACTGAAGGGCCCTGGGTTTGATTCTGGCCAAGGGCACCTACCTGGGCTGCAGGCTCCATCCCGGCCCTGGTGGAGGAGGCGTGTTCGGGAGGCAACCAAGCAGTGTGTCTCTCACATCAACCTTTCGGTCTCTCTCTCCCTCTCCCTCCCTCTCTTTCTAAAAAATAAAAACATATTTTAAATAAATAAATAAATAAAATCATTATTCCAGTTTTATAGAGAACAAGTTGACAGAAACAAGTTCAGTAACTTGTCCAAGATCTCACAGCTAATAAATGATAAAGAACAGGATTCGACGCTAACATCGTTTTGTTTTTCTTACCCCCTCTTTATATAGAGGCCCCATTCTCAACCCATTGTCTCCTGCCTCTCCTCCCTAGGAGAATGCTAAGGGATTTCCCTGAGTTGAAAGAAGCAGTACAGCAATCTCTGTCCCTGGAAAAGTTTTCTTGTCGCCAGATCTCCTGGGGAGGCGCCACGCCAGCTTGGGCCTTGGTGTAGGTTAATGGCCTTTGCCTTCCCTCTTCCCGGGCAGACTTAGGATGGGCCCCAGGCCCTGTTCTGACCTGGCCTCTCTTCTGCCAGCTCGGGCGGAAATGCTGACGGAGATGATGCAGTACAAGCCTGGAAGGGGGGAAGCTGGGAGGGTAAAATTAGTAACTCTATGGCTAAGGCCCTTGGACCCTGCTGCCAGGGTCAGACACTCCTTGAAATGCTGGCTCCCGCCCCAGCTTCCTCTCCAAGTCACCTGGTAGATGGCTGGAAGAGAAAGCGGAGGGAAACCCTGCCTTCAGCCACATCTCAGCTTTCCCCGGTGACAATTCAGCAGCAAATAGGTTCTCACACTAGCAAGTTGATCAGGGGATGGGCATGCAGGCACACATTAGTACACAAAGGTCCTTCATTTTTCTCAGGTACCAAAAATGTGAGCCAGGGAGAAAGATGGGTGGGCAAGGGTTTGCGTTCTGGCTCAGGCATCTATTTTACCCTTTCCCTGTGGACCTAAGCTTCCTACGCACCAGGTCAGGTTAAGATCCAAGAGTCCTAAATTCCCAGTAATGGTACCACTGAGGGTTTTTTCTTTTGTTTTGTTTTGTGTTTCTTTTCTGATTGTGTGGGGGCAACATTGCTTTCTGGGGAAGAGAGGGTGCAGGAGTTGAGACAGAGAGATAGAAGGAATGGTTGAGTTTTTCTTTTTTTTCAGCAAATATTTTTTAATATTCCGGTTGAATGTGTCTTATGTCTCCTTTAAGAAAAGATCCTGTCCCTCGCCTGTAGCCCAGTTGGTTAGAGCGTTCTCAGGATGCGCCAAGGGTCTGGGTTCCATCCCTGCTCAGGACACAGACAAGAATGAACCAATGAATGCATAAATAAGTGGAGCAGCAAATCTCAATCTCTCTCTCTCCCTTCCTCTCTCTCAAATCAATAAATAAAAGTTAAAAAAAAAAAAGAAAAAAGAAAAGATCCTACTAAGGCCACCTGGGAAAAGAGACAAAAGGAGGGGAAAGGGAGGGAGCTCCTGTCGAAGCCATGCTACCCCCTGGCCACCCCCTGGCCACCACTGTCCTTGGAGGGGGTTCCTTGGATTCGCCTTCTCCCACTAAGGTAGATTTTCCCACCCTGCTTACAGCTTCAGATGTCTGAGGGTCCTCATCTGCCGTGACCTGGGTGCTAGGTGTCAGAGGCAAGAAAGCACAGAAATACAGGTTGAGCCTTAGAGGGCTTTTGGTGGTTATGGGGGCAAGGGCCAGGACTAGGACTGGTGTGGAGTGGCATCCCTGCCGTGGCTGAAGATGCACTGCCTCCCCCGGGAAGCTCCTGAGCGGCCCCTACTTTTCCTTCAGCATAAGCATGCTGGGAGTGGTGCTGACTGGTGCTGCCCCTCCCTGAGAGCCCTGCCACGGAGCCCACTCCTTCCCTTTCCTGCCTGGTCTCCCCACCTCACCTGCTTTCTGCTGTGTCCCCAGGAGCTCTAGAGACCCGGGACCATGGACACTCTCAATAGGAACCAGGTAGGCCCCGGATGCAAGACCCAAGCAATGGTGCAGGTGAGTTGGATCGGGGCCCTGGGGCAGAGGGCTGCTGGTGAAGATGGTTTGGCTCCTCTGTGCGCCCATGGTTCCAGCCCAAGAATGAACGCAGCAGTTTCTCTCTCCCTTCCCCAGGTTCCAAGCCTATTAACAGCTAAGTCTTTATCTGAATCAGGTTAATTTAATTGGTTTACCCAGAAAATACCCTTTGAAAGTCAGGAAGGGTTTTCAGATTGACTCTGAGCTGTATTTCTGTCCTCAATCCTACCTCTGGCCTCTTGTGATTTGGTTTAACAGAGATAAGCACTGGCCAAGTGGATTGCCACACACAAGTCTATGGGACAAGTCTTGGTTGGCTCTCCTCTATAGTGCCCCTCCTCTTAGCCAGTGCCTCCCCACACCCCCTACTTTCTCCTTGTTTCTGTCTTAATAGACAAAAGGAGCAGTTAAGCCAAGACTTGAGATAAATCTGGTGGGACGAGTTAGTGGCCTAGATTCAGATCTAATTACACAGTAGTGGAATAATGCTCTGTGCAAGATTTTGTGCTGAGCCTCTCGACACCCTCAGAGCCCTTTGGAGAGGATAGGGGCTGGAGAGAGTGCTGGTGTGACTGTGACTGGGAGGTAAAGTGCTGGCCTGGGGTCTCTAATGATGCTCATTGCCTACCCCCACTGCCTGCAGAAAGGACCCTTGGACCTGATTGAGACAGGCAAAGGCCTGAAAGTGCAGACAGACAAGCCCCACCTAGTGAGCCTGGGAAGTGGGCGACTCAGCACAGCGATCACCCTTCTGCCGCTGGAGGAAGGTAAGTAAAAGGGCCTGCCACCCTCCATCCTTATAGACATTCCTGTTCTGGGGTCCAGGCATGTGTGGGGGCCCTTCTGCTATCTGCTGGCAGTGTTTACCTCCCCCAGTTAGGAGGTGGGGCCACCCCCACCAGTTTGCTTCCCTTGTCTCTGCCCTCCCAGACTGCCTGCCCTCTTTGGTTGATAATCTGGCTTCGTGACTAGGATTCAAGATCAGTTTAGAAACAAGGAGAACCCTGAAACAGGAGAGCATTTTGCTCTTAGCAACCAGTATAGCCAAGAAGAGAGGGGCCGCACTCCAGGGCAATGCCTGGCCTGGGAGAAGGTACCGGTGGAGAATGGAGGGATGGAAATAGGGGCAGACTCCCAAGCAAGATAAGGCCCTGGCACAGCCGCTTCGCTTTGCAGCCTCTGCCCTTCCTCTCTTCTCTCCTGTTTGCACTTGTTGCCTGGGTGATACTACATTCCCCACATTCTGCAAATACCAGTCCTAGGGGCTCTGCCAGGGGAGGGTCTGCTCATGCAGAAGCAGTGAGGGGAGAGGCTGCACTGTAGAGAGAGGGAGGGAGGGAGCGCAAGGGTCGCAGGTGGCAGAAGGGAGGGAGAGAAGGAGAGAGGGAAATTTAGAAGAAAAGTGGGGAGTATGATGAAGGAGACAACAGACTTAGAGAGGGAGAGTTGGAGGAACTAAGGGAAGGTATGCAGAAAAGAAGTCCCCCTTCTCTACTCTATGTGGAGTCTGTATCCTACTGTGCCCTCTGGGCCTTCCCATCTTTGGTCTAGAGTTTTTTCTGCCTAAAAAGAGCTTCTACCACCTACTGTTTCCACCAGGCTCTGGTGCCCAAAAGGGGTGGCCAGTGGTGGGCAGTGATTCTCCTTGGAGTAGGAGGTGGAAATATATCTCTTTTTTAGAAAAATTTATCATTATTGTTGAAAGTATTACAAATGTCCCCTTTTTTCCCCCATTGATCCCCTCCACCCTGCTCCCCCCCTTCCAGGCCTTCATCACACTATTGTCTGTGTCCATGGGTCATGCATATATGCATATAAATTCTTAGGTTAATCTCTCCCCACCCACTCTCCCACCCCCGCCTTCCCTCTGAGATTTGTCAGTCAGTTCCATGCTTCTTTGTCTCTGGTTCTATTTTGTTCATCGGTTTATTTTGTTCATTAGATTCCACATATGAATAAGATCATTGATACTTGTTTTTCTCTGACTAGCTTATTTCACTTAGCATAATACTCTCCAGGTCCCACCATGCTGTCTCAGAGGGTAAGGGATCCTTCTTTTTCATAGCTGCATAGTATTCCATGGTGTAAATGTCCGAGAAGATGCCTGATATGATTTCAATCTTCTTGAACTTGTAGAGACTTGTTTTGTGTCCTAACATGTGGTCTGTCTTTGAGAATGTCCCATGTGAACTTCAAGAGAATGCATATTCTGCAGCTTTGGGGTGAAATGTTCTGTAAATGTCAATTAAATCGATCTGACCTAGTATGTCATTTAGAGTCACTGTTTCCTTGTTGATTTTTTGTCTGGAAGAGCTATCCAGTGAAGTCAGTGGGGTGTTAAAGTCCCCTACTGTGACTGTATTGCCGTTGATCTCTCCCTTAAAGTCCTCCAGAAGTTTTTTTTTTCCAGCTGGTTTGAGTCTTTTGTTCTGAGGTGGGTCTCTTGTAGACGGCATATATTTGGGTCTTGTTTTCTTATTCATTCAGCTACCCTATGTCCTTTGATTGGAGCATTTAATCCATTTATATTTAAGTTTATTATTGATCGGTACTTATCTTTTGCCATTTTCTTTCTTTTCTTAAAAAATATGTCTTTATTGATTTTAGAGAGAGGAAGGGAGAGAGAGAGAGAAACATCAATGAGTCATTGATTGGCTGCCTCCTGCACGTCACCACCAGGGGTCTAGCCCGCAACCCAGGCATGTGCTCTGACCGGAATCAAACCTCCATCTTCTGGATCATAGGTCAATGCTCAACCGCTGAGCCACGTCCGCTGGGTGCTATTTTATTTCTTTATGCCTATGTTTCTCATTCTTTCTATTTCTTTTTTAAAAAAATATTTTTATTGATTTCAGATAGAGAGGGAGAAAGAGATAGAAACATCAATAATGAGAGTCATTGATCGGCTGCCTCCTGAATGGCCCCTGCCAGGGATCAAGCCCACAAGCCAGGCATGTGCTCTGACCAGAAATTGAACTGCAGTCTCCTGGATCATAGGTCGATGCTCAACCACTGAGCCATGCCGGCCGAGTTTGTTCTTTCTATTTCAACTTCTTATTACAGTAGTCCCTTTAACATTTCCTGCAATGCTGGGTTGCTGGTGATAAACTCCTTTAGCCTTCTTTTGACTGGGAAGCTCTTTATTTCACCATCTATTTTGAATGATAGCCTTGCTGGATAGAATATTCTTGGTTTCAGTTCCTTGTTTTGCATTACCTTGAATACTTCATGCCATTCCCCTCTGGCCTGTAGAGTTTCTGATGAGAAGTCAGCTGACAATCTTATGGGAGCTCCCTTGTACATAACTGTCTTTCTCTTGCTACCTTTAAGGTTCTCTTTGTCTTGAATTTTTGGCATTTTAATTATGATGTGTCTGGGTGTGGGTCTCTGGGATTTTCTTGCTTGGGACTCTTTTTGCCTCCTGAACTTGTGTGATTTTTTCTTTGACCAGGTTAGGGAAGTTTTCTGCCATTATTTCTTCAAACAGGTTTGCTATCCCTTGGTCACTTTTTTTACCTTCTGGCATTCCTATGATGCAAATATTGCTATGTTTCATGTTGTCCCACAGCTCCCTTAAACTGTCCTCCTGTTTTTTAATTGTTTTTTTCTTTTTGGTTCTCTGATTTTTTCCTATCCTGTCTTCTAATTCACTGATCTGATCCTCAGCTTCCCCTAATCTGCTGCTTATTCCTTCCAACATTTTTTAATTTTTTTATTCCTAGTATGTCATTCTTGATTTTCTTCATAGTTTCCATTTCTTTTCTCATGCTGTTGAACATCCTTATGATCAGTATTCTGAACTCTATATCTGATAGATTGCTTATATCCATTTTATTTAGCTCTTCTTCTGGAGAATTCTTTTGTTCTTTCATTTGGGGCTTGTTTTTTTTTTGTCTCCACATTTTGGCTGCCTGTTTGGATTTGTTTCTATGTATTAAGTAGATCTGCTAGGACTCCCAGTCTTTTGGATGGTCTCTGGTGCAGGCCAATGTCAGATGCTATTTGTGACTGGCCCTGAGTACCATTTGAAGCTTTCTGTACTCCAAAGCTTGTGGTTCCCTCTGCTGTGGCTGGGTGCATTTAGAAAGGACCAAGATGCCCACCAAAGTCTGCTTTTCCAAGCCCTGGGTGGAAATATATTTCCACTGTGGCTCTCCTTGCCCTCTTCCTGCCTTCTCAGGCTGTTCAAATCCTCTGACTCAGTTTGCCTCCTGTCTTTAGGGAGAACAGTGATTGGCTCTGAGGCCAAGGACATCACACTGCAGGGTCCAGGCCTGGCTCCAGAGCACTGCTACATCGAGAACCTGCGGGGAACCCTCACTCTCTACCCTTGTGGTAATGCCTGTGCTATTGATGGGCTTCCTGTCCGGCAGCCCACCCGGCTCACTCAGGGTAAGGTTTGACACCTCCAGGCAGAGGGGGGTCTCATTTTAAAAGCTTACGCATGATAGGTGCAGAGTAAGCCTGCTGTGGTGGTTGCCATGGTAACTGCCATGTTGGAGGTGGGGTGTTTAAGTACATCTGATGTGCCTAAACAACCCCCAACCCCTCTGGCCTCCGGACTGGTCTTCATACTGCTCTTCTTCTCTAGTCACCCTCATCCTTCCTCCCTACACCACACGGGGAGAAGAGACTCCAGTTCGTGTTGTTAGAGGGCATGGAGAGTGGTCATTAGTGGTCCTTAGGGGAGAGCAATTGGAGCAGCAGTGAGGGGAATGATGACATTGTACCGTGATGCCAAGAGGGAGTTGTGGTCTGAAAAGCTGTAGAGGTGGGGAGAGGAGCGCAGTACCCCCTGAGGGATGGGGAAGGGCAAAATCTGAGGATATGCCCACTCCTATTAAAAAATGTTGACTGTAGCTTTGGACTCATGAATATGGTTAGTGCCCTGTTTCCTAAAGCAACAGGCCATTCTGTTGTGTAAGGCAGCTTTGAAAACTGGGCCCCAGTTACTATGGTGACCAGGCAGGCAAGGAAGGGCTTGACCCAGGTGGCACTTTGACAGAACAAGTGTGTTTGCCCTGGGCATCAATTTAGGGGAATGAGAAAAGCAGATGTGGGTGGGGGTAGAGGTGGGATTAACATGAGGATGGGAGCTTTGGGCTAAGCCTAGCTCTGAGCAGGAGGACTGGCGTCCTGGAACCACTTTCTGGGGACTCGTACCTTTTATTAGCTAGAAGCTCCTTTGCAGTGGAAATCCCTCTGTTTCCCTCTTGCATTCTGTTCACATCCCCTCAGGGTCTATTTAAATGCTCCTCCCTTCACAGCTGACCCAGGAGACCCAACCTTGCCCTGCTCCTTTCTTCCTGCCCTTGGGAGTGTTGGGGAGGGGAGGGGGCAGGGACAATACAATGATTTCGGGGAGGCAGGCCCAGTAGCAGCAGCAGGCAAGCCTGTTTCCTTCAGGGCTTCAAGGTCTCTGACTCTAGATGAGAGGAGGATCCAATTGGGACTTTGGCTATGATGCCATCTGGTTGTTGATAGCCTTCTTCAGTCTCAAACAGAGCATCTTCCCAAGATCTGGGTGCATGGAAGTGAGACAGAGCAGCAAGGAGAGGTAGGGACAGAGTTCAAAGAAGGCTAGAGAAAGCCCAGCCCTTACCCTACCACCCCTTCAGCCCCAAATCGCTCACATTCATGGGCAGGAACATTCTTCCCCTGTGTGGAGCAGGGTGGAGGAACTGATGCCGGTAGGCCTCTCTTGCCCAGTCTTTCCAGTGCCTCATTTAGCTTCCAGAGAAGAGAGAGGGCCTGGGCCAAGATGGAATTCTTAGGCATTTCCTGTGACCCCCATGACCCCCAATTCTTCTGTAGCCAAAAGCCTACCCTGCCAATTGTACCCTCCCACTCTCTTCTGACCCCAAACCCGCTTCCCTTTCTCTCCCTCCCGTCCCTATAGTCTTCTTGTCTAGGCTCGCCTGTCCCCGAAGCTTGGCAGCCTGGGAGGGGTAGGCAGAGGCACAAAGGAATGGGTGTTCTTCTCCCCAGCACTCCCCCTCCCCTGGGCTCCAGGAGCTGAGGGTTTCCTTGTCTCATCTCTGGAGCAAGGCACCAAGCCCAGCCCTGCCTGGCCCCGCTCCGGACATTCTTGGGAGTGCGTTTCCCTGGGAACTGGGTGGCTTGGGGGTGTATATGCTATCTCTGTGTGTCTATGCAACTGGAGTGTGTTTATGTATCTCCGGATGTGTTTGTGATTCTGGGCTTGTGTATCTCTGTGTTTGTGTCTTTCCTTGAGTTTATAGATCAGAGTATTCAAGTGGGGGTGGGAGTGAGCTCAGGACTGATGGTGCCAGAGTCCGTGTGTGTATTCCTATGTGTATATGAGGACTCATTGGCCACATGCCTATCTGGACATATGTGCAAGAGGATCATTTTCTCTGTCTTGTTCCCCCAATCAAGCTTTGTGGAAGGGACCCTCATCTTTGAAAAACAGAGGTCTACCCTAGAAATAACAAGGAGCCCTCTCTGGCCTGGCCAGTCCTGAGATGACTCATTCTGGCACTGTGCCCAGCCATAGGCAATTTAGAGTGGCACACAACATGACTGGCAGAGATGGCAGTGACAGGCTCTTCCAGCAAGAATATGCCTGGGTCATGGGTGGGGGGAGGTAGGCAGAAAGCAGATGCTAACCTTAAGCTAGAGCTATGGACATGGGAGCCTGAAGTGAGGGTGCCAGGAAGATCCTGATTCCACTCCCATACCTGGGTATTTTGGTACATCCTATGCTGCCTTCTCTCTACAGAGCAAGAGGTGGAGCTGGGAATAGGACCAAGGAAAAGAGGAGGAATCTCAATCTGGGCCTAGGCTGCCCTACCCTGGGACACAGGGCCAGGCCACATGAAAGATCTGGGAGGGGACTAAGTAGGGGAGGGCCTAGAAAGCCACACACTCAGGGCCCAGGCTGTCTAGACAGTAGGTCCCCATCCACTCCCAGCATTTGCTGCCATCCCTTGTCTCCACGTCTCCTTTACTCCCTAAGCCCTTCATTGGTGGGTAGGGGATTGTATGAGGGCCAGCATGGGAGGCTCCCTGAGACGTGGCTGGGGAGCCAGGATTCCTGGGTTGTCTAGCTGCCTCCCTCTGGGATCCAGCACACTGAGCCTTTTCCTCTCCCACCCAGTTATCAGTTATTCCTTCTGTAAAATGGGAGTGAAGATTCCAATTGTCCTCTAAGACTGATAAAGATCTTGACTAATAAAGCTCAAAGGGAGGAGAGAAAAAGCAAAGGCTCCTAGCTCCCCACTTCTTGTGCCTGCCTCCTACCCTATTTCTCACTGGCGGCACCCTCTGTGACTGGGTCTGTCCAACTGGCCATCAGTTTCCAGACTGATGAATCACACTTCCTGAGTAGACTTTTTTAAAGGCTTTCCCTGTTTTGCATTTGACCCTATATGGTTCTTCCTTCTTCCTTCAGAAGGGGAGTAAGGTGCACGTGCATGTGTGAGCATTGAGTGCATGTGAGTGTGTGTGTGTGAGTGTATAAGTGTTGAGTGTGTGTGTGTTGAGTGTGAGTGTGTGTGTAAGTGTTGAATGTGTAAGTGTGTATGAGTGTTGGGTGAGTGTATTTTGAGAGTGTGTGAGTGTTGAGAGTATGAATGTTGAGGGTGTGAGTGCATGAGTGCGTGTGTTGAGTGTGTATAAGTGTTGAGGGTGTGTGTGTTGAGCGTGTTGAGTGTGAGTGCTGAGCATGTTGAATGTGTTGAGTGTTGAGTGTGTGTGTTGTGTTGAGAGTGAATGTGAGTGCTGAGTGTGTCTGTCTTATGTTGAATGTATGAATGTGTGAATTGAGTGTGTTGAGTATGTGAGTGTATGTGAGTGTATGTGAGTGTATGTGTGTTGTGTGTGTTGAGTGTGTATGTGTTGAGTGGGTGAATGTGAATGTGTGAGTGGATGTTGAGTGTGTGTGAGTGTTGAGTGTGAGTAGCACGGCAGTGCGGGCTGGTGCTCAGCAGGGTAGAGCCTGATTATTCCTTGAGGAGGCTGACTCTTGATTCCAGAGTCTCAATGTGTGTGACTGAGGGACAGCACGGTGGCGGTGTGAGCGCTGGCGGGCGCACTGCTGTGGCTCAGGGCACAGTGCTGTGGCTCGGGGCGCACTGCTGTGGCTCGGGGCGCACTGCTGTGGCTCGGGGCGCACTGGTGTGTGCTTGGGGCGCAGTGCTGTGGCTCAGGGCGCACTGGTGTGTGCTTGGGGCGCACTGCTGTGGCTCGGGGTGCACTGGTGTGTGCTTGGGGCGCAGCGCTGTGGCTCGGGGCGCGCGGCTGCAGCGGGTCTGGGGCCGGCAGTTGATGGGAGTCTGAGAGGAAGTCCGTGGGTCTAGGTGAGCGCTGAGCGAGTCAGCGTGTCCCTCGGGGTCCCGGTGTCCAGAGGCCAGTCCCCGGGACAGGCTGGGGGCAGGTGCCGCCGGCCCGGGGATGGAGAGGGCACCTCCCGGGGGAGCCCCCT